TCCAATTTTCGTAGACCGCGAAAATTAAAAATTCGCGATACTTTTTGAACAGACCTCGTATGTGTTGGTTTGCTGTAAGTAAGAAGAATCGATGGGTAGTTCTGTAATCTTGTCACCGTTATTCCACGCTATTTCAAGATATGAGTTCTGCAATTACAGCTTAAGAGTACAAGTCTTGGTAGTTGTACAATAAAATTGCACCACTGTATTAAGGTTCACGAAGTACATAAATTATATACATTAGAAGAGAATATTACTGAACAGTATAAGTGGACTATTAGTTAGGTGCGTAAATAAACATGTTTCATTGTTTCGGTGTCTCAGACGCGAATCATATATGTGAACTCTCCATATCATATTTCCTTCCGTTTATTATCTTCAGTTCTACATCCCTTATCCATTTCAGCTTTTCTTTCCCCTTACTATTCGGTTTATTTTTTGCTTTTACCTCATCGGTATTCTTTTCCTATTCCTATACTCTCCCTTCTTTTTCCATCCTTGCATTGAAATCTTCTGCTATTATTACTCTTCTCTCCCGGTTGTCTTCCGCCACTTTTTTTAACAACTTATAGCTTTTTATCTTTCTGTATCTCATATATACCACTGCTATAACCAATTTTATCTTTACCAATTCTACTTTCGTTACAATCATCTCTTCCGTTTTTTCTACTTTCCATTTCAGATTTAAGTTCATTTTTCTGTTTGTAAATGAAAATATGACTCCTATTTCTCTCCCTCTTTCTTCCTCCCTTATCGAGTCTCTCCGTTCTAATTTATAATTTATCCGGTGTCTATCAATTTTTTTCTTCGCTTTTCCTCTTCTCACCTATATTTTCGTCGGATCTACTATTTCATATTCTCATATATATTTTCAGTTCTTTTATTCTAGGCTTTCTAATTCAACTATATTCCAAAATAGTATTCTAGGTCTCTTCTTTTCTTTTCTCTCTTCTCTTTCTCCTTCCCTTCCCTTAATTATTTTTACCTCCGAAAGTTATTTACTCCCCCTATTTATTAGTTTCTTTTCTTTTTTACTCCATCCTTATTTCTTTTTTCTGTTCTCAGTCCATTGTGCCATTACTTTACCTTTCATTCCTTTTTCTTTCAACTCTCTAGCTTTTATCCTTACTTCTTCTTTTATCCTTATTTGTTCCTATGTCTAGTTCTAGTTTATTTATACTTTGTCCTCCCTTACTTTGTATTTTTTTCTTATTATCCCTTCTTTTTGCTCCCAAAAGTGATATTTAATTAATCACGTCTTTTTATTCCTGTTCCTCTTGACTCGTTTCCCTTCTTACTCATTGCTTTGCTAGTCTCCCATCTGTCTTAGATATATTATCTCCTCTTCCATCTCTAATTTCTTTCTCAGCCATTCTTCTGCATTTTATTTCTGTATCTCTAAACGTCATTGTATCTGTAATAACGATGTTATTTTTTCTACTTTCTTTTTCCATTTTTTATGGTGCAAATTCTATTTTTTCGCTTTTTTTTTCTTTTTACGGTCTACCTCAACTTTCTTTTCGCGTCTCTTTTTCCACATTCATCTTTTATAATTCTTCTTTTCTTTTGGATCTTTTCTATTCATTTTTCTTCCACTCTCACTTCTTTTTCTACTTTCTTTCTTAGTTCTCCTATTTTCTTCTTTTTCTGTTTCCACTCTCTTTTCAATTCCTCTCCTGTGTTCTCTTTATTTCTTTTATGTCTTTTTTCCCCTTTTCATCTCTCTATTTTTCTTCTTCTTCCATCTTTTTCATCATGCCTGCCATCGTTCATCTTACCTCTTCTTTTCTCTCTTTTTTCGCATTTCTTAATTCACTTATCACTTCTTTTAGTATTACTTTCGACTATTCCGCTCCTTTTCTTCTTCCTATATCTTATTGTTCTTCTTTCAAACATCTAACCTCCTTCTTTATCTTCTTGTTCTGTTTCTTGTGCGCTACCCTCATTTTCACTTCTGCTTTTCCTTTTCCTGTTCTATTATTTCATCTCTCCACTTTACATATTCTTTATCTATATCTACTCTTTCCTCTTACTTCTCTCCTCTTTTCTTTCTCAGCTATGCTTCTATCTCGCTTTTTTCTGGTTTATTTTATTTCGTTGCATATCTCTTTTCTCAACCTTTTTTTTTATCTTGTCGTTATTCTTCCTGACTCTGCTTTAAACATTCTCTTTTCCTCTTCTCTACATCATCGCCTTTACTTTGCGTCATGTTTCTTTCTCCATATTCGGTTTTATCCCACCTTCCCTGTGCATCCCTGCTTCTGTGCATCTGCCTTAATTTTTTTTCTTCTCTTTGCTAATCTGTCTCTCTCTCTCTCTCTCTCTCTCTCTTTCTCTCTTGATTTCTTATATCATTTTTTTCTTTTCCTATTATTCCTTTCTTTCTTTTTTCTACTTTTTTCCTCTTTTTCCCTCTTTGTCCCGCTTTCTTTTATCACTATCTTTTTCTTTCTTATTCCCTTATTTTTCTCTTTTCACTTTCAAACGCAACTCCATATATCACACATCCGGTCCATTCAGTAACCGCCAAAAAACTCTAATGTTTCAATATATTATTAATAAATGATTTGCTAATGTATAAATATTATTAATATAATATAAAAAATATATATATGGTCATGATTTTTATTCTATGGAGTTTGAAATTTTCGCGTGTCTTCAACAAAAATTCCCACTCTTTTTGAAATACGGCACGCCATCATGGAGACCATATTTACCCCGCACATGAAATCATGCACTATAGTTTTCACTTGTGGGATTATGCGCATGTTGTACTTGCACGTTATATCACTCATGATTCCGTATCTCTGATTTCGTGTCTTCCCTGATCCCGTATCTTTTCTGTTTACCTCCTATTCAATTAATTTGATATAAGATCAAATTAATTGATCTTATATCAAATTAATTGAATAGGAGGTAAACAGAAAATCAAGGAAAACCTATGTAACTATAGATATGTGACGGGTTAGGTGAAGTGATCGTTGAGATCGCTCGCCCTGTTCGCCTCTCTCTCTCTCTCTCTCTCTCTCTCTCTCTCTCTCTCTCTCTCTCTCTCTCTCCCTACGGGGTTATACCCCACGGCTTAATAAAGCTTATTCTATCTATCTATCTCTTTCTCTCTATCTCTTCCGCGTGCCTTCCTCTTCGCCGTTGCCGCATGTGGTTTTATTTCAGGTATAATCTTGATCGGCATCGATAGTCGGAGAAGCTGAAGCGGGAAAAAGGCTATACTTGTAAGTGAGAATATGATAGAAAATAGAAAACTAGTCTCGCATGATGTGATCCGCATATGTGTGCGTACCCGACGACGCTCAGGGTACGTCTTTTGTTCAGGGGTTACGCTCAGGATTTAGCTTTTTGAGACTTGTAGGGAGGGGCGAGAGAGATAACGAAAAAGCGAGAGAATGTAGGCAGTACTGGTCTGATCGCAAAATCTCTGAAGAAATAAAAACAAAAGTGTGAGAGATATATATTTTATCTGTTTACTCATTTATAAAGTTTGATTTGAAAAGAAGTTAACACAAGTAATAAGGCATACATGCCATTTTTAACCTAAAAAGGTAGTTGTAGGGAGATTTAACAACTTTTTCCAAATGTTTAAGGACTGTCTCTTGAAAATTACTTTTCTTTAGATTTTGTCAAACTTTAAAAATAAGTTCCTTTTCTCTACCTATATAGTGAAAAAAACCGATCGTAAGTGACGATATTCCAAAACGAGATATTGATCTTCAAAGTTTACTCTGTGAGTTGGGTCCTTACATATGTCGCGTTAAGGAATCCCCTGTAACCAAATATATATAAAGGATATATTCACGACTACTCTTCTTGCTGGAGGATATTTGCCAAGCTACATCAGATCAAATGCAATTGCGTCTTCATCGCCGTTTATTAGTTGTACTAAATGGTTTCTGGATGAATAGATGAATTCTCTACCTATATAGTGAAAAAACCGATCGTAAGTGACGATATTCCAAAACGAGATATTGATCTTCAAAGTTTACTCTGTGATTTGGGTCCTTACATATGTCGCGTTAAGGAATCCCCTGTAACCAAATATATATATATATATATATATATATAAATAGAGAGAGAGAGAGAGAGAGAGAGAGAGAGAGAGAGAGAGAGAGAGAGAGAGAGTCAGAGAGAGAGAGAGAGTGAGAGAGAGAGAGAGAGAGAGTTTAGGACTGAGTGGCCGTAATTGCGGGCACAAACCTCACTGGCACCCGTGAGTGCTAGTGAGATTTGTCAAAAAGTAGCATTAGAAAAGATCGGGTGTAGGGTACTTGCAGTTTTCGGCATTTGGTGCAAGACAATCATCTGGCAACTGATATCAGAGCCTTTTTCAGATGTACTAACTAGCAACTAAATCGCCCTTCGACGCCATCTATTCCCCACCTTTAAGGACATCAACGTATAGTCTAATGAGTTGATACGATCGCCTGATAAGCTAAAGATTTTGCAATAATTATCGTCCTACAGTCTGTTATCCTGGTGGTAAGAAGAATATGTTGTGCTTCCAGTTTTTTTTCTATATGTCGTAGAATTGAAAATATAATTTGAAGCGCTTGTATGTGTATTTTTCAAATATTGGTGAAGTTATTATATTGTTTTGTTAATTGCTAAATTTACTATGTCTACCAGATTATTTCTCCCTTCTATCTGTGACAAAATTTTCTCTCTCTCTCTCTCTCTCTCTCTCTCTCTCTCTCTCTTGAACATTATTACTGTCTCCAACGATTAGTTAAATTGCATTACAATTCATAATGAGCCCGAGTTAATGGCTAGTTCAGTTTAACATCAATAAATAATGTGATGACACAACTGCATGTGGTTAGTTCAATTCCATGCAGTTTAATTGAGTATGTAAATAATAATTTTGGTTACGCATATGGTATAGAAGAAATTTGTTTAACGTTAACTACAACAGACTCTATTAAACATTTATTCTATTCATGAACTTTTTTGTCAATTCAAAAGTTATATAATAATATCTTTTTCAGATGCGGAAAACTATGAGATCATCATCCGAAACAAGATGTATACATATTAATGGTATCCATGATAGCTCATCGATCACTGTAGATGAAAACACACAAAATCTTAAAATAATCCAATCTCCAGGACAAGCTTGGCCAGGAGACAATGATTTGAAAATAACTAATGCTTATAATCTAGAATCAATCAAATCAAGTTCTGAATCTAAATTATTTTGAGAGAAAATCTAGTCCGCCTGTTATATAATACATAAATAATTTAATTTAGGTGATACATTCAGTGTTATGGTCAATTCCGATTGACATCTTGCTGCTTTTAACAAATCTAAATTTATTGTCTTGGATATTCAATTTTCACTATGAAATGAGATGCAAGACAAAAGCATATTATTTCAGGACAAATGTTGAACTAATGATTTTAGACAGTAGTAATAATTTACAATAATTTATCTGGGAACATTGACAGTTTTGAAAATATATAATTCTCTTCAGTTATACACACATACACACAAACACACGCACGCACACATATATAATTTATATTTCTACTTATGTATGTTTAAATAAATAATAATGTAATTTTTGTGATACAGTAATGTATAACCAGAAAAAAAGCGGTGATCTTTTATAATCGTTGCTCACTGGTATGTCATGGTTAAAAAATTTTATTCAAGAATTATTATTTTTTATTCAAGTTGCATAGGTGAATAAACTACTGTCTCCACCACTTTTCGTTCATTTCCCTTTTTTTTCAAGCGTAGAAGCTATCGCGCTTCTCCGGAATTTTCTCCTCTATTTCCTTTATTTAATTTTGTTAATGTTTGATGTTCTTTATACTTAAACTAGGATAAAAAAAGAAAAAAAATCTATGACGTAATTAGTTTAGAAAAATATGACTGTTACACTTTCCCTCTCTGACTTACATTCTCTCTCTTTCTTTTTCTCTCGGTCTTTTCAGAAAAATGGGAGCCAATATGACATTGACTGCGCATACTGCGAGTCTATCTCGGACCGCTTTAATATTGTCTGTACTGGGTAAATCGGCATTTTATTCCATAATAAAATTCAGTTTTTCTTATTTTATTAATTTTATTATTAATTAATTTTCTACATTGCATAGACTAACAAGGTCGCAGTTTTAGATAATTATAAATAAATTGGATTTTATGAAAAAAAAGTTAGCTTTTCAGGGAGTAAAAAATGAGTTAAAATAATAAGGTAAATTTTTAAATATATGATTTGAAGATATTTTGACGCCACAAGCATTGCATATTCCACATACATACATACATAGGGATTTGCGCATGCGTCGTGGGTGATCTGGGAGTTGTTTGTGCTTCTCGAAGATCCACCAAAGTCGTTCGTTGACCTAGTCGCAACCCCCTAGAGCCCCCTTCTATTAAATAATCATATCAAACTATATAATTATATCAAAAGTTATAAACAATTGAAAATTTTGGATGAAACATTTTCAAAAATTTATATCTCCGCAACCATTTAAGTTATCGAAACAATTTTTTTCAAATTACGCATAACAGAGTGTACTTTGAAAATATTAAGCGTACCATACTTTAATACCAATATTTCCAAAATTTATTAATACTTTTTTTAAGCAATTGGCCATATCTCAAAAAGTGTTATTTTTATATCAAAATACTTTTTTTTGAAGTCCTTGACATTTTTTCTTTTTAAAGAATCCTTTCTTTTAAGAATCCGTTTTAAAATTCATGGAGCGATGAGTCGAGCGTAAATCACAATAGGAAAAGAACGAATTGCTTAGTTAATCACTAGAGAGAAATAACTTAGGTGTAAGCCAAGTTTATTCAATCTTGAGCGCTCACTTTGCAAGGCTAGAAGAGAATACCAGCCTATGCAAAATACAGTGTATTTATATACAAATTTTCTCTCCTATTTTTGCAGGACAGCCCTCTTTATGCTGTTTACGTAAGACTGCACAATAATTTTCTCTTGTTGACAATAGAATTGACATCACTAACGAAAATCTAAATCATGTAAAAAATACAGAAGTTGATATAGATAATTTAAGTATAATTTACACTTATCGCAAAAAATGGAATTAAAAGTTATTAACTAATTGAAGTTAGTTAATAAAATAGCGCAATATTTATAACAAAATAATAAGAAAATTTTACATATATAAATAGCTTATCGCTTATAGAAGTAATTCCAAAAAATAACTACTTAAATTAGTTAATAACATTTGAATAATAATAAATTTTCGTATTTTTGCAAAATCTTATAATGTAAATATAAAATCGGTTAATTAACACTTTCGATTCCTATACAATTATTTGTTTAAATAATATATTAATTGTTTATTTATTGACAACAGTAATAACTAAGGTGTTATCAGTAAAACGAATCCTTACTCATATTTCGCAGATAGTCATTTTTTAATTAAATTTAAATTAAATTTGCACTTTAAAATTTAATATGATTTAGTAGTTAAAAGTAATTAAAATAGTATAATCTTAATCTGTGCCCTAAAATCTATATAAAAAATGCTTTGTTTTATTGAATATTATTGAATTTTTTTTATTTAATAACGCATCTAAATTGAACAATAAAAATTATTATATCTATATTTATAAGTAGAGTGACGTCACGCTCGTATGGTTCTGAAAGTGTATCCTCCATTAAGATAGTGAAAAAGACCATATTGAGATACAGACACAAAATTTTTAGAAGATATTCAAAATTATCTAAAAAATCTCCTTAAATAATTGGTTTGATGTCGGTTCCAGTGGTGAGCCACCTTTAAAAATGCAAAAAACCCCGTTTTGTAGTGGTTTTTGGCCATTGGCGTTCTACCAACGGCAGCTTTGGTAAAACTAATGTCACCATCGTATTCTACGGGAAAAAATACATCAAAAACACGTATTGTATGATCTCTCTACTATTTTCTACTCTGCGGCAAACAAAAGAATAATAATGGCGGCTACGCCAGGCATGCCAAAATGGCCCCCCACCTCTCATGACTCATATCTTTAAAGCTAATTATCAAAGACTTTATCGATCCTTACATATATTCTTTTGTGATTTTTCCCGTACAATACGATTGCGATATTCGTATTACCGTTATTGAGTTTTGTGAACAGCTAACGAACGCAAACCGGGCATAAATCATGTTTTCAGTCGTTTATCAACGGCTTTTCGTGTTTCAGAAGTTATAAATATTTTTGTAGTGCTTTATCATATATCACTTTATATGATAATAATAGTCTCTGTCGAAGTAGATTGGCTATGAGTCCCAAATCACTCTGAGCAAAGATTTGTTAAAGATACATAAACTATTTGGCAGTTACATTTTCCATTGAAACTGAAGTGGATTAATTGAATTATAAATGAAAAGGTTTGACAGATTTCAAAATTAAGTTTTACTGAAATATTTCAGATCAACATCTCATTTTGTTCTTTATAAAAAAGTTTGAAAACATTGAGACTAATTGAAAAATAATTAGCTTGCAGAAATGTATTTAAAAATTAAATATTATTTTTTGGGTTCTCGATTCTTATCTTTCTCATTTTTTAAAAAAATGCTTCACCGCTCTTGTATTCTCTAAAATAAAAAATATTATCTTGTTCTTGCTATCAGATTATTCATATTTAAACAAAGATTTCTGTTATTTATAAAACTTGGCTTTCCCACTCATAAATAATACAACAATATGAAAATAAGAATCATTCAATTTCCTAACTCGCTTAATAAAAGGAATTGTTTCCTTCATTTTGTGTGAACCTTCATTTCATGTTTATAATATATTAACAATCAACACAAAACTTGTTTTAATACACAAAAACTAATTGATATATAATTATTACATTGTGTAGATTTAAAAAATAGATTTAAACATTGATTTGTTTTAAATACAGAACTTGGCTTTTCCACTGATAATTTTAAAATTAAAAACAATCCGGTTGGTTTCAAAAATTCATTGAATTAATTATTGAAACAAAGAAAATTACCATTTTTTTATGCTTAATTTTTTTCAATAACAATCTTTTTTAGTACAATAAACAATTGTAAAGACTATATATGAAAGTACCTTATATAGGTATATATTTAAACCGGTGTGTTCTGCAATACGACGGGTGACATACAATATTTCATAACGATCATTTTTGTTGGACGACAAATCTCATGTTTAACATCGATGATGTAGTGTTTTCGTTTAGGTGATTTCAATGTCGATAACAGTTAGGACTTATCATTAACGACTGGTACACGAACACTCTTACTTAACCCATTAAAGTCCAAAATGTCAAAATTTCTTGCTCGTTTTCAAAGTGATTTTTTCCTATGTAATTGGCGTTGAAAAAATTCTTGAACCACATATTCTGATGTAAAATTGCATGCTCTTTCAGAATCCGTTTCCAGAATCATGATAAAACTCACAGGAAAAGAGATATGCTCGATTGAAACATAAAAAACACCTAAATTTTCGAAAAAAAAATGTTTAGGATTTTTTTTCAAAGTGTTACGGTGAAGATATCACCTTGCGACCCTGATCAAAGGTAATCATGGGATTTGAAGTTTAAGAGGAAATTTTTTTGTTTACCTTGAACCATCGCTTCTTTACAAAATGGCGGAAAAAACTTTTTTTTTTTTTTTTCAATCTTCATCAACATTTTTCTCAAAATCTATGGTCTTTAGAAAAAAATTCATGAAAACAAAAATGCCTTAGAATCGCTCGAGGAACATTCTCAAATTTTTTCAGAATTTTTTGAGACAATTTTTGATTTTCCGGGAAACTTGGGAAATGGAATTTTCAAAATTGTCTCAAAAAATTCTGAAAAAATTTGAGAATGTTCCTCGAGTGATTCTAAGACATTTTTGTATTTATGAATTTTTTTCTAAAGACCATAGATTTTGAGAAAAATGTTGATGAAGATTGAAAAAAAAAAATTCGTTTTTTCCGCCATTTTGTAAAGAAGCGATGGTTCAAGGTAAACAAAAAAATTTCCTGTTAAACTTCAAATCCCATGATCACCTTTGATCACGGTCGCAAGGTGATATCTTCACCGTAACACTTCGAAAAAAAATCCTAAAAATTTTTTTTTTCGAAAATTTAGGTGTTTTTTATGTTTCAATCGAGCATATCTCTTTTCCTGTGAGTTTTATCATGATTCTGGAAACGGATTCTGAAAGAGCATGCAATTTTACATCAGAATATGTGGTTCAAGAATTTTTTCAACGCCAATTACATAGGAAAAAATCACTTTGAAAACGTGCAAGAAATTTTGACATTTTGGACTTTAATGGGTTAAGTTCCGTATTATTTATAAGAACAATTAGTACATATCTTCTGTTTGTAATCAATACATTCATAGTCTTTATAATCATGTCTTATATCAGTGCTGAATTATTATCATTTGATTAAATTAATATCATGTATTTCTCAAACAGGATTGACCATTACAATGGACGACACGGAAGAGCCGCCGATGAAAAAACAATGCTTATAAACAAATAATGCTAAATGCGCTAAATATAATAAGTTCATTCGTAAAACGAATGGAGCGGCTTTGTATATTACCACTCGAAAAGAAGCTGAAGATTTTAATTTTATTTAAGATGAAGTTATTTGTTCAAAGTGTCGTTGTGTTCTTAAAAATCTCAGAAGAAAGCAAGGAGAAACTGTTGTAGTACCCGTTAAAGAACAGATACTAGATCCAGTTACTAATAATGTGGATAC